GACATGGGGCTCAATCCCAAGGCCCTGAGACCTAGACCTGAGCTGAAGGCAGATGCTTAATTAACTGAGCCACCCAGGTTCCCCTTTCCTTGACTTTCTACATGGTTTTCTAGGCATCACATGAAACAACTGCTTCTCCCAGTCTTGTATGGTTGGCCTTACACAGAAGATGAAACTTATCGTTCAATATTGCCCTAGCTCTTGATTGTCTCTCAAATCTTTATCATTATGCAAGGAGCCTATTTTATTTATTTATGATTTTTTTTTTGAGAGAGAGAGAGAGCTTGCGGTGGGCAACAGCAGAGGGAGAGGGACTAATAGACTCAATGCTGAGCATGGAACCTAATGCAGGGCCCAATCCCACAACTATGAGATCATGATCTGAGCTGAAATGAAGAGCTGGATGCTCAAACAACTGAGCCACCCAAGAATCTCTATTTTTAATAGTTCTGGTAGTTGAGGATGTGCCAAGACCAGATATTAATTAAAAATTTCTCAGGCAGCCTGGGTGGCTCAGCAGTATAGTGTCGCCTTCAGCCCACAGCCTGATCCTGGAGACCCAAGTCAAGCTCCACATCAGGCTCCCTGCATGGAGCCTGCTTTCTCCCTCTGCCTATGTCTCGTGCCTCTCTCTCTCTCTCTCGAATAAATAAAATCTTAAAAAAAAATTCTCTACTTTGGAATCATTCTGTTTTACTGGGTTTCAGGAAGAGTAGTTATAAAAACATTCTTAGCCATTTTCCCTACAAACGGACATTGAACTAATTTATTATACTGCATGGAGTTTAAACACTGACACATGTTAATTCTGATGTTCTCACACCAGACAGTATATCCAGAGAATGGAATTGTATATTCCAGTGACCTCTGATAATAACAGCTGCGACAAGATGGATAATCATTCAAGCTGCCTTGATGTATTTCCCTATAAAATAAGGGGGTTGGGGTTAATAGTCTATAAGGTCACTTATGGTTCTCACATTGTATTACTGTGATTTTATTTAAACAATATTTTCTAAGCAGGATAATTAAAAACTAACCTAAATGATAAAATTTTCTGGTGGTTAAACATCTCCCTCTAGTGGAAATTCTGTTTTAAAAAAATGTTTAGGATCACAGAAGATTGTATCTTCACTTTTTTCCCTATTAGTCTCAACTATAAAAATCTGCCCAGTGTGTAAAACAGTAAAGCCATTTTAGAAGGCATTTTGGTAATACCAGGATTTACATGTATATCTCCTATGACCTAGAAACTCTACTACTCTAAAGGCATATTTACACAAGTAATAAGCCTAGAATATGTGAGGATTTGCCTTTACGTACTAAGTTTTTAAAAATTCTCATCAGCTCATTACATTTGAATTCCAAGAGACAAAGAAATATAGATAGTCCCTCGTTTCCTACTTCTCCAGAAAAGCCCAGGAGTCCCATATGTGACTTAATCCTAAAACCTTCCTTACTCGAGAGTTGTTTATTTGAAACATCTTCTTCTTTTTTCTTTTTTTTTTTTTTTTTTAAGATTTCATTTATTTATTCATGAGAGACACAGAGGGAGAGAGAGAGAGGCAGAGACACAAGGCAGAGGGAGAAGGAGGCTCCATGCAGGGAGCCCGATGTGGGACTCGATCCCAGGTCTCCAGGATCAGGCCCTGGGCTGAAAGTGGCGCTAAACCACTGAGCCACCCGGGCTGACCTATTTGCAACATCTTACTTAGCAATCTGTTTCTCAAGAAAAATCATAAAATTGGAAGAGAGACACCAAGTGTTTTTAACATATAGCCAGGGAAAGTCTGCAGCAAATTCAGTAAAACTGAGCAGTTCAAAGATTCCTATTATTTTGAAATGTGAATAACAACTTACCAGTATTTTAGAGATTTACCAGTTCCTGTACTCTTTGTCTATCAAAGAATATCAACTGTTCCTCTTGTAGATTTTTTTTTTCCCTGCATACCCCAAAGCACATTGGACAGAAAGTTCCCAATACTTATACTTCTTTCTTGCACCAATTTTTCACTGTTCTCAAGGCCATGTATAATGCAAACTGAATTTCCAGGCTCCCTTGATACATTATTGGCCAATAGAATGCAGGTGAAATGATGGATGTTGCAACTTCTAGAAAGTATCCTTCAACAGAAAAGATAAGCCCTTGTTTGCCCTTCTCCCTCCCCAACACCTGAAGTGATCATCACACCATGATTTGGAAGCCACATGGGTAATGGCAGAGCCTGAAACTCATAAAGTCACCATACCAGTTCTTGAAAACTTAGCTTATAATTTTGTGTAAGCAACAGAGAAACCTCTAGTACTTCTAATACTTTGATCTACCTTTAAGTTTTTTGTTGTATGCAACTCAACTAATTCTTATTTAGCATGTGAAATGGTAGTATACCTTTAAGCCATTACTAAATGGTCACAAATTTTTCAATCATGCTTTGGTGGTATGAGATCATAATATTAAGCTCAATATACTATTAATAACGACATTAGGTATGGAGTGATGCCACCATTGCCCGGTAGAAGGCAGGGAACATGGTCACTGCAGCAAAGCCCACAAGGCTCCAGTCTTGTGTGTATTGCCTCACGTAGCCACACAGGACTGGCAAGCCAGATCACTACAGAAGTTGCCCAGTGCCAATTCATGATGAGAATGCCAATGTAGCACATCATAGTACAAAATATATCCCCAAATTGTGATGTCATCCTTGAGCTGACTCATAATGGGACCAAACTACCACGGATATTTTCATTCAGAGGCTTAAGGTAAGCAAAATATGCAACTTAAACAAAATGAAGTTTAAAAACTGCAGTCTATTTTATCTCTTAGATCATAGCCTCACTAATGAACAGGCTAGTCAATCTTTGGGGACAATCCATTCTGGAATGTATAGCTCTACTGAGCAGCTGGTTCACCTCAATTTCAGAGGACTAACCTCTTTTCAGCTGGACTTATGGACAAGCTTCCCAAGGATGAGCCTAGTTTTGCCAACAGTCTAGCTACTCTCCAGATAACCCATGGAACAACTGTAAAAGATAAACACCAATAGCAAATATAGTCCACAGGACCCCAAGGCTACTAGGATGCTCCTGAGAAGTCTCCCGGGAAATGTCTACACTGTCAGTACAGATTTCTCAGACATGGAGATGGACCTTGGGCCTATGATTCCACCAACCTGACATGGACTGTAGGCCCAACTCATTAATGGAGGCTAGAATGCAGGGGAGTATGTGGTATATCACCATTCTGACTTTAAGATCACATTAGCACCACAGAGAAAAAATTCAGCTGGTATAACTATGCAACCCTTTGCAATGGGACAACATCCAGGAGTTCCTGGGGAACCCAAAAGAGAAGCATGGGGGTCCTGGCACAGACTCTATCCCAAATGAGATCAATCCATTTGCATCCACATTCTATTTCAGTCTTTGACAGATGATCTTTGAGGTAATGCAGAATAGTAATTTCACCTTGGTGACCCTACATGGTCCTAAGGCCTGGTGACAACCTGGAAATGTTTACCTCCCCTAAGGCCACTCATCACCCATGCCCTGTGTCATATCCTGCTCAACCAGCTTTGGCAATGGTACACTATGAATGTTCTTAGTCACTTCAGCAGTGATAAAGGGGGAATACTGCTGAGGTGGGAGCAAGTTGGGAGCTCCGTCATCAGCCCCTTCTCAGTCTGCTAGGGCCAGAGGTGGCAACCAGGGATAGGGACAGCCCAGATAACTGAAAGTAAGCACTCTTGGCCAGTTGAGGGGGCTGACACCTTAAAATTTAGGGTTTTTTTTTTTAAATGATAATTTGCCTTTATTTTTTTTTAATTTTTATTTATTTATGATAGTCACAGAGAGAGAGAGAGAGAGAGAGAGAGATAGGCAGAGACATAGGCAGAGAGAGAAGCAGGCTCCATGCACCGGGAGCCCGACGTGGGATTCGATCCCGGGTCTCCAGGATCGCGCCCTGGGCCAAAGGCAGGCACTAAACCGCTGCGCCACCCAGGGATCCCTTTAGGGCTGTTTTTGTGGCTGAGGACAAGGATCAGGAATTCTAGCACATGACTATGAATGTAAGCAAGCATCTTGTCTGTAGGACTTGGGTTATGCCAACTGGTCTACATCTGCTTTGGTTATCCAGTAAGTTGAGGCCAAGAGAGCCTGCCTGCCTGTCCCTGTGTGTCTCTTTTACACATACTCCAAGTAGGCCGAGTTCACAAAACCAAATGGTTGAACTGTTTTCTGCTATCAAAGTTTGTGCCTAGGCCAAGTCAATTCTTGAAATCATGTCTGGATCTCACTCTTTTTAGAGCCATATTTTGAAGGTTTCTGACCCTGTTCTGCCCAACTCTGGACATACGCTGCACATTATCATTCTGTCTGCTTTCTGATTTTATGCAAAGTCTTAGCCAGTACAGATGTTCTCAGACAAGTATTTTGTTCCTGTGTTGTGTCTTAGCAGTCCTGTATAACTTAGAATAACCACAAACTATCTTGGAATCTAAGCCACAGCCCCAAAGAGTCTTCAGGTGGTTGTGGTTCCAAATGACCACAACCTTATGAGAGGCTCTGAACAGGAACTCCCAACTCAGCTGCTCCCAAACACCTGCTCCACAGAAAAATGAGTGAGATAAACATTTTGTTGTTTTAAGCTATTAAATTTTGGGGAAATTTGTTAAGCACCAGGAGATAACTAATAAATAATAGATAGCTGGCATAGACCACAGAGGGCATCCAGGACTATTGCCATGACATCGGGACTTGCTCTGAGAGAGGAGGAGAAACTTGCTATCTGCCTTCCAATAAAACACATAGACCATCAACAAGACTCTTTCATATGCAATTGCCAGAGCAGTTATATTGTTAAAATGGTATCACTTTGCACAAGTGTACAAGAGGGCCCTGAACCATGAACTCCTCCTCAACTCAGCCACTGCTTAAGGCTGGGGTGTGGGAACTGCCTAATCACAGCAGCAGAACCTGTTACCACAATATACTCCATTTACCTGGATTTCCAGAATCTCAAATTCAAGTTGAAATGTAATCATGTGGCAATTTCCTGATAACCTGTGTTTCTGCAGAACTTTCTTTATACCTGTTGATCAGAAAAAAAAAAAAATTATTTCCAAGTAAGTTTCCTTCAAATATCTATTATTTAATTTTGTGTAAAAATGTATAATACATACGGGTATATGTATGAGAGTGCATATTAGTATTTACATTGCAAATACCTGGAAAACATGTACCAAACTGATTTACTTCTGCAAAGTTAACTTGTTACTTTTAATCTAACTTCTCAATTATAAAGATTTTTTTAAGATTTTTTATTTATTAATTCATAAGAGACACACACAGAGAGAGAGAGAGAGAGAGAGAGAGAGGGGCAGAGACACAAGCAGAGGGAGAAGCAGGCTCCATGCAGGGAGCCCGATGTGGGACTCGATCCCAGGTCTCCAGGATCAGGCCCTGGACTGAAGGAGGCACTAAACTGCTGAGCCAACTGGGCTGCCCTATACTAAAGATTATAGTAAAACATACTAGTATAGGGGCATCTCGGTGGCTCAGTCAGTTGAGTTTCCAACTCTTGATTTCAGCTCAGGTCATGATCTTAGGGTCGGGAGATCAAGCCCCACGTCTGAGCATGGAGTCTGCTTAAGATTCTCTCTCCCCCCTCCAAAAAAAAAAAAAAAAAAGATTCTCTCTCTTCCTTTGCCCCTCTCCCCACTTGAGCACTCAAAGGAAGGAAGCAAGCAAGCTACTATAATCCTACACAAGTTTGAATCATAACTGTTGGATTGGGTTTTTTCCAACACTATCTGATTCTAGTTAAAAACACTAAATGGAATCCACCTATTTATCTTTTACCTTTCAAAATTTATACTTCAATGTGTAAGATGCCCTATTCCTGAGCATACAACTCCATACTTTTTGAGATGTTTCCTATGTAACCACGACTGAGATAAAAGATACAGAAATTTAAAAATACACATAAAATTGCCTCATCCCCTTGGCCAGGTTATATACTACCCACCCCCCAAGAGATAACCACTAGTCTGACTTTAAATCATCTAATTTTGCTAACAAAGGCATGCTTAGAAGAGCACAACTCTGCAAGGATAAAGAAGAAAAAGGAGAGTAAGTTCGGAAGCTGAAAATCAAATGGAAGAGCTAGATATCACACAGAAAAGAACTAAGCTGGCAGACTTATGAAAATTAAAACCTAAGTCAGCAATGGGGGAAGCTCAGTATTAAGTCCATTCAAAAGCATTCTGAACAGGCAGCACAAAGTACCTCTGCAGATGAGGGTCAACTCAGGAAGACTCAAAGTGGGAAAACTAAGATTTCTACACTAATACAACTTATAACTGGCCTAACCTCACTCTCCCATCCTCTCTGTATTCCATCTCTTCCTTTCAAGTATCTCAAGTGCCTAAATTCTGTCACCCATTTCTGTACATATTTCAGACTTCCACTGAGATGAGCTACCCAAGACCCTTGGAGGATCAACTTATGATCCCTGTCATGGGGGTTATATCAATGGAAAAATCAGGAAGCGATTCCAAAAGTGACTCCTTTATTTTTTCTCTTAACATTTTATTTATTTATTAGAAAGAGAGAGAGTACAAGCCAGGGTAGGAGGACGGAGGCTGAGGGAGATGAAGAAGCAGACTTCTCGCTGGGCAGGGAGCCTGATATGGGGCTCAATCCCAGGACCCCAGGATCATAACCTGAGGTCGGAAGCAGATGCTTAAACAACTGAGTCACCCAGGCCCCCCTAAAAGTGATACCTTCTTTAAAAGATGATACTCTTGTCCAAAGCTCCCACATTCCAATGCACAGCTGAATTAGCTTCCCTTTATGAGTTAGTGCATCACAGATCCTTGGCAATAAAACTTAGTCAATGAGACTAAGAGCACAATAGATGAGGCAGCTTTCATTATCAGTGGTGAACTCCTAAGATTTACAAATTAATGGTGCTGTTCTTATTTCAATTTCCAGTAATTATTTCTATTACTTGACTATTAAGACACAATGACAAAGCCTGTGTCTTTCTTAGTATCTTCCTCAGACAGCTTTAGAACAGTATAATGCACACCATGATGTTAAAAAGATACTTGACAAAACAAGTTTACCACAACCACACAAATAGTTACCTTAAAGAATTTTATTTTTTAAGATATATTCTTTTTTTTTTTTTTATGATAGTCACAGAGAGAGAGAGAGAGAGAGAGAGAGAGAGAGAGAGGCGCAGAGACACAGGCAGAGGGAGAAGCAGGCTCCATGCACCGGGAGCCCGACGTGGGATTCGATCCCGGGTCTCCAGGATCGCGCCCTGGGCCAAAGGCAGGCGCCAAACCGCTGCGCCACCCAGGGATCCCAAGATATATTCATTTTTAAGAGAGAGAACCCATGGGGGAGAGGGGGAGAGAGAATCCCAAGCAGACTCCCCACAGAGCACAGGGCCCAACACAGGGAATAATCCCACTACCCTGAGATCATAACCACCTGGGGCAAAATAAAGAGTCAGACACTGACTGAGCCCCCCAGGTAACCTTACCTTGCAGAATTCTGATTTAATGTCATGACAACCAGTTTCCTACGCATAAGGTAAGCTTTAATATCACTTCTAAATTAAAATTAATGCTTACTCTTTTCCGTCTTCTCAGTGCTTGTTAAGTCCTCTGTCTTCATAGAGTAATTTCTTATATTGATACCAGTAAGTGTGCTTAGAAAAAGAAGTTCTGATTCTAAATGTTCAAGATGACTTCGCAGATCTTTCGAAGAGGCCCATCCTTCAGAATCTGATTGATATATTTCTTGAAGTGATTTTCTAAAAAGCAAATAGAGTAAATAATTACTCCAATGAAGAAACCACTAACAAATACTTTACCTAATAACTACAAATTTCTTAAACGATTTCCATTTTCTTACTCTCTTCCCACAAAAACTACCTCATTTTTCTGAAAACCAAAGTAGCTATTAACAGTGTAATCTTTAATCTCAAATTAACACAAAGCTAACTTAATTATATCACTATATTTCTACCTATTATAAACAACTGTAAAATAAAGTATATCAAGAGTACTCTGGGGCAGCCTGGGTGGCACTGGGGGCAGCAGTTTAGCACCTGCCTTCAGCCCTGGAGTCCCAGGATCGAGTCCCACGTCAGACTCCCTGCATTGAGCCTGCTTCTCCCTCTGCCTAGGTCTCTGCTTCTCTCTCTCTCTTTCTGAGTCTCTCATGAATAAATAAAATCTTTTAAAAAATAAAAATAAAAATAAAAATTACTTTAAGAGATGCCTGGGTGGCTCAGTTAAGCATCTGTCTCTTGATTTTGGCTCAGGTCAAGATCTCAGGGTCAGGTGATTGAGGCTAAGCAAGGAGTCTGCTTAGGATTCTCTCTCTTCTTCTTCCTCTGCCCCTCCCTACACTTCCACGTGTGCTCTCTAAATAAGTAAAATCCTTTTAAAAAAATTACTTCAAGCTGAGAAAACAAATGAAACCAAGAAGCAGTCTTCATGTACAAATGATAAGTTCCTGCCAAGTAAATACCAAGTATCACAGAAGACTTCAAGGTATTTCTGACAGAGCAAACTGATAAAAGAATTAAAGTATCACATTGAAAGATAGATACATAGAATCCATAAAAAAGAACCTATGGCTGAGAAAGGAAAGAATGGGGAGTTATTGTTTAAATACAGAGTTTCACTTTGGGATAATGAAAAAGTTCTAGAGATGGACAGTGGTGTTGGATGCATGACAATGTGAAAGAACTTATTAGTGCAACTGAATTGCATACTTAAAAAAGGCTGGAACAATAAATTTTGTTATATATATTTTACCATACACCAAAAATAGACAAACTGCATATTCTCATAGCAATGATTTACTTTGAGCAAAATATCATTACTGCACTTCAATTAATGTCATGAGTTTCAATGATTTGGAGTTACATGCATTATTGGCTTTGTAGTTTTATCATTTTTTTAAAGATTTACTTTATTTATTCATGAGAGACACAGAGAGAGAGGAGAGAGAGGCAGAAGGAGAAGCAGGCTCCTCACAGGGAGCCCGATGTGGGACTCGATCCCAGATCCTGGGATCATGCACTGAGCTCAAGGCAGACGCTCAACCGCTGAGCCACCCAGGCATCCCAGTTTTATCATTTGTTAATTCAACTTAGCATAATTTTTCTTGTTTAAAATTAAGAGTTCCACAAGGAAATTTTCTCTGTTAAAAGAGATCTACAAAAGACCTGATTTTAAAAATCAATGATCTAGGATTCTGGGAAGCTGGTGAAGAAGGGAGCACCAGGAATCCACTACCCCACCTAAACAATAATTACACTGACAAAATGTGTATGATCAAATTTGTAAACCTGTGGAGTCTGCTGAAGGCCTAAAACTTCCAGGGGAAGGCTTGGAGTTAACTGCAGTGACTTTTGGGCAATTTCAGCTCTTAGCACAGTAGTAGCTATGTATCCCTCACTCCAACAACAGGCGCAAAGCTGTGTACATGTTCCTGAAGCAGGGTGCACATACTTTAGAAAAGCAAGAGGCAAAAACAGACTCTGTCCACCAAATACTGGGTATCTGTGCTGATTGCTGCTTCTGACCAGAAAGGTACAAAGAGCCTTGATGCTGCTGCTTTTCCCTTTGTTACTCCCCTCCACCTGAGGTGAGATCCAGGAGAGTTAAAGAACAACTGTTCTTTTCTCCCCCCCTTATTGTTGGCTTTTCCCCATTTAAGTCACACATTAAAGATTAAGACATTCAAAATTGACTAATATATAAGGAAAACTTGAAAGTGACTACACATGCCCAAGGGAAGGCTCAGAAAAGACCTAAGAAGACAATTGAGTTTGCACCTCAGGCTTATCTTCAGCACACAGCCTAAAAATTAACAAAGCTAAACAAGCAAGCAAACAAAAACCACTAAAACAACAAGCTATAGGGATGGGGTGGGAAATCAGATTTCCAAAGTCACCATCTTATTAGATTAAAATGTCTAGTGCTCAAAAACAAAATTACAAGGCACCCAAAGAAACAAAGTATGACCTTCAAAAAAAAAAAAAAAAAAACTTTAACAAGATTTGTCCCTGAAAAAGACTTAATGGCAGATATATTATACAATGACTTTAAGACAACAGTCCTGAAAATACTCAAAGCTAGAGGATATGAAGAAAATTAAGAAAATGATGTGTGAACCAAATGGAAACTTCAATAAAGAGATTTTTAAAATCCTAAAAAGAAACCAAAAAGGAATTCTGGAGCCGAAAGGCACAGTAACTAAAATAAAAATTCACTAGAGTGATTCAAAGGCACATGTAAGCAGGCAGAGGAATCAGGGATTCTGAAGATAAGACAACAGACATTATTGAGGCTGAGGTCTAGAAAGAAAAAAGACTGAAGAGAGGAACAAAGTATAAAGGATTGTATGGGACACCAACAAAAGAACCAACATACGCAACATAGGAGTCCCCAGAAGACAGAAAGGGCTAGACCACCAGAAGAAATAATGATTGAAAACTTCCCAAATTTTATGAATGACACTAATATGAAAATACAAAATATTCAAAAAACTCCAGAATGAACTCAAAGAGACTCACACCAGATGTAGTCAAATTTTCAAAAGCCACGCATAAAGACAAACCTTGAAAGCATCAAGAAAAAAGCAAACCGGGATCCCTGGGTGGCGCAGCGGTTTAGCGCCTGCCTTTGGCCCAGGGCGCGATCCTGGAGACCCAGGATCGAATCCCACGTCGGGCTCCCGGTGCATGGGGCCTGCTTCTCCCTCTGCCTGTGTCTCTGCCTCTCTCTCTCTCTGTGACTATCATAAATTAAAAAAAAAAAAAATTAAAAAAAAAAAAAGAAAAAGAAAAAAGCAAACCATCACATACAATGGTTCCTCAATAACATAGGAGACCTCCTCTCAGAAATTTTGGATCAGGGGTTCCTAGGGGGCTCAAGTCAGTGAAGCATCTGCCTTTGGCTCAGGTCATGATCTTAGGTCTTGGGATCAAGTCCTGCATCAGGTTCTCTGCTCAGCAGGGAGTCTGCTTCTTCCTCTCATTCTCCCTCTGCTTGTGCTCTCTCCCCCTCAAATAAATAAAATATTTAAAAAAAAAAGAAATTTTGGATGCCAGAAGACAGTGGGCCTATATAATCAAAGTGCAAAAAACAAACAAAAAACTGTGAAGCAACAATCCTATGTATACCTCATCCAACTGTGCTTTGCTTTGTTGTGCTTCCCAAATATTACATTTTTTACTAAAGATTTGTGGCAACCCCGTGTTGAACAAGTTTAATGGTCCCATCTTTTCCAACAGTATTTGCTCATTTTGTGTCTCTGTATCACATTTTGGTAATTATCACAGTATCTCAAACTTTTTCACTACTATTGCATTTGTTATGGTGACCGAGGAAGCAGTAAACAAAGAAACACTTCTTGCCTGGCTATCATATCATTAATACTCAGTACATAGACAGAAACACCCACCCAGTTCCTTGTCCTTCCTCTGAAAGAGGCATATTCACATACTTTAAAAGTTGCTGCCTGAAAGTCTGGTTCAAATCAGTCTGAATCTGGTAGCTGACTGTCCCCACTTTCAGACACTGACAAATCTTGTCATACCTTGAGTTCTTTACAATCACTAAGAATAGAATAGACTGCTAAGACAATCACAAAGGATTGAGAGACAACCAAGACCAAGAGCAGGACTGAACAAAAAGCTCATCTATTACATGAAGCCACAAAAAACTACTACTATTACATGAAGCTACAAAAACTGCAAAAATATGGCTCTTTTATCTAGGGCAAAGAAACCAGAAACATATTGAAAAATATGTTCAAAATGAAAAAATAAGACAAAACCTCAGAAACAGATCTAAATGAAACGGAGATTGGTCAAACAGTGAGAATTTCAACAAGAGGGAGAAAGCATAAGATACTAAATAGAAGTTGCAGAGCAGCTTGACTACAATAAATGTACTACATTATTCAACAGAAAAGTTTAACATCAGACTAGATGAAGAAGTATCAGTAAACTTGAAGACAGAGCTGTGGACGTCATCCAAATAGAGTAGCAAAAAAGTAAAAAGAATAAAACAAAAAGAAGGTAGCTTAGTGGGGTTATGCACAAAAAACAAACCAACATTTGAGTTTAGGGGTCCTAGAAGAAGGAGAGAGAAAGAGGCAGAAAATTTATTTGAAGAACTGAAAATTTACCTTTCTTTTCCCTGGAGAAAGAAAGAGGGATCCAGATCTAGTAAGCCTAAGTAAACCAAATTAGATGAACCCAAAAACCCATACCAAGACATTTTACAAAGTATCAGATGTTAAAGGACAGAATCTTCAAAGCAGCAAAAGAAAGAAAACTTGTTTCCTACTAGGGAACCCCATAAGACTATAAGCAGACTTCACCAAAAACATTGTAGGCTAGAAGTGGTATGATATATATAAAATAATGATAGTGAAAAAATGCCAATTAACAATACTCATTCTGGCCAAGTTGTCTTTCAGAACTAAAAGAGAGCTTTTTTTAGACAAGAAAAGTTAAAGGAATTCACCACCACCAGACTGGCCTTACAAGAAATGTTAAAGGGAATTCCTTTAACATTTTTAAATCTTAAAAATAATAAAATAAATATCAAAAACATGAAATGTGCAATAGAAGAGTAAAAACAGAGCTTTACAATGCATTTGAAGTTATCAAATTAAAATATAGCCATAAATACAAAATATACAGAACATTCCACCTAGTTCTTTTTTTTTTTTTTTTAGGATTTTATTTATTTATTCATGAGAGACAGAGAGAGAGGCAGAGACACA